GGCCCGTCCTCCGGGTCTATGAGGTCGGTCCTGCCGGCACCGTGCAGCCGCTGGTCGTCGAGCAGCAGGGCTGAGGCGAGGCTGTAGACGACGGCGATTCCGCTCCCGCCGGCTACGAGGACTGCGGTGTCGCTGGCTCGAAGCATGTCTAGGGCTTCGCAGGACCCGTACGGCCCGTCTAGTCGAACGCGGAGACGGACGGGGTTAGAAGGGAGTAATGGCGACTGTGTCGACGCCCCAAGCCTGCGGGAGTGCTCGAGTAGATCCCTGGTGAAGCCAGAGTGCGTTCGGATGAGAAGATTAAACCACGCATGGGTAGGTTTGCTGACTGGAACAGCGACATTTCTCCTCTCGGCTACTTCATTATCCTCGGGACTAGGAAGACTGAAGGAGGCCCCAGATGCAATCGTGAAGGGATGTGCCTGGAGTGCATGTGTCCTACCCAGGGCCGGGACGGTAAGAAAGACATGGTCTGTCGGCCGCCAGCCAGCAGTGATGTTTTTGGGGCGAAAGAGTCGCAGGAATTTAGAGCGAAGGCTTGAACAATTGGACGAAGAAGAAGATGAAGGAATGTCCCAGTCGGCGGACAGCATAAGTGTCTCGCCGTCCTGGAGAATGCAAATATCGGCATCCAGGCTGACAGACCCGAGTGTCAGGCGCCAAACAGCTCGATCAAGCACAAAAATAACGAGGGAGAGAATAACATAAGGGCGCGAGGTAGGGAAGTGGAAGAAGAGAAACACGAGCGCGACTAGCTGGAGCACGACGTGAGCCGCTAGGAACAGCTCGTAGCACCGCTGTCGAATCGACGCCAGAGACGTCAGGTAGAGGAGCTCGTACGGAACAAAGGTGCCGAGGCCGAGCAGGATCAACGGGTGCGTAAAGTACTGCCACGGAGTCACCGGGTTCAGCCACGGGGGCGCCAGCACGAACTGGAAGAGCAGCATCCCGCCCATGTGCAAGGCCGCCGCAAGGCACATCAGCTCCCCGACCCGCCTGTGGAAGATGTTCAGGGCCTCGTACGAGCGTCCGGTCAGAAGCCTGACGGGCTGGTTCTTGGCGGCCAGGAGGTACAACAGGGGCAGGTTGACGACGAAGACGAGGCCGGCCCGGTCGGCGGGCACGAACAGGTAGGCCCCACCCAGCGGACAGCGGAAGAGAAGGAAGGCCGCGTTCACGGCAACCCAGGCCAGGACGAATATGGACACGGCGTTGGACGGCAGGGAGCGGTTGATAACGGGGATGGGTCGTGGCTGGTATGCCAGCCAGCCACGGAGCCGACTCAAGGCGATCCTGCGGTTCGTGGGACCCCCCAAGATGCCCCGGGATGGGCGGCGTATGGGCGATCGCAGCAGCGGGAGCCGCTCGATATCGGCGCTCTCTTGGTCGTCATCTTTATACGGGACCATAGGGCTGGCCGTCCCGCTAACGGTGCTGCTGGACGACGAAAACGCGTCGCTGTCGGTAGCCGGCAGCGTCGAGCTCCCAGAACCCCCGCCAGTGGCGCGGAGCCGGGCGATACGCTCCCTCCACATCCTCCTGTCGCGGCAGCTTCGACGCCAGTGGGCAGCGGCAAAGGCGAGGAGTAGTAGCACCATGGCGATGTTGTACGACGCGACGATGACTCGTCCCTCGAGCAGAGTGCGGATCAGGTCGGCGACGTATGCGCGTTTGTGAGGGTCCTGGATGGGACTCGTTTGGTTATGGGTGGTGGCGGCGACGACTGCGTGGATCGAGCCTCGCAGCGACCACGGCAGCCGTCCTGCGGGCTGTTCGCTTTCCATGGCCCGGCTTGCGGAAACTCGAAAATCGGGGTCTTGAGCTGGGGCTGATGGCCATGAATAATGGAGGCTCGGGATCGCGATAGGACCTAGGAAATACGCGAAGGGCCGGGACGACAACCGAGTTGGACAGGCCTGGGTGGTTTCGATGGCAGTGAGGGAGGCAAGCTCTTTATCAGATCGATCTGATAAAGTTTGCTGTGTGCCCAATACCTACTTGGGTCGGTGCCGAGTCTACCGAGTCCGCCCGATTAACACCAGGCTTTGGGGGGGGCCAGACTTGCTGGGCTCAATAAATGCTTTCAATCCGAGAAAGGGCGCAGGCTGGGCCAGGGTTCACGTTTCTCCGTAGTCGGATAGGCGCTGAGTCGGCGGATCAGGCGGCAGCGTCAGCGTGTGGGCAGCTGTAGACGCTAACCGACTGTTGGGCCATGGCGCGGTTGGTTCCTCGCCCTGCTGACCCCACTCGCTGGGCCGGCGTTCGGACCAACGGGAAACGGTTCATGTCCAGTTCGCAGGCGTGACACCATCATGCCCAGCTTAGGCTCTGTCGAGATCAAATGTCGTATGAACCTAGCTTTATTTCGACCTTCGATTGAGCGATTCGAATCACCAGACTCGGGCTGGGTATGTGGAGCAACCGATAAGACCCCCCGTAACCGCCCCAAGCTATGTGAGATTGGTTCGATATGGGCATTCAGGTACCAGACATTGACACTGCAATCCCCATCCATCACAGGGCTTCATGTTGGTCTGTCCATCAATGTCCTTTCTTTCCTTCTCCTTTCGCAGGCATGCATCAATTCTCAGCAACCAAGTTTCCTACACGCAGCTTCGCTTGCCGAAATGGAGCCTTGCCGTCCCGCTGTCACGAGGACTGCCACGAGGACTATGATGATCGACGGGTTCTGCAAGATGCGCCCCAATCACTCTTAACTCTCACTTTCAATTTGCGTTGGGCCATTTTCAGTCACCCAGGCAGGGCAACGGATGCCAACACGTCCTTCCTATCTCGTGCCCATTATCCACCCCTGAAATCAAGAATCATCACCCCGGAAAAGCTCAGGCGGACAGAAATGAGCCGTCTACCTAATTATGCAGTCTCCAGTTTGCAAAAGCGTACGACTTTCGCGTCATCGCTGACTGTCAGCCTGCTCGCAGAGCCGCCCAAGGCAGCTCCTTGAGGTGTCGCCCGATCGCGTGCATCTGGCAGTCCCGCACGAGGGCGAGCTAGCGTTGCTGGCCTGGACCCTTGCGCGGGAAAGGACCCTGATTCTCTGCACGGTGACGTCGAAGGGCGTCGAAGGGGGCCCAGCGTGCGCGAGGCTGGACCTTCTGCGCCAATCAGACCGCTGAGAAAGTCGGTGGCCTCCCTACGCCCCTGTAAGCCACACAAAGCTGCGGCGCGGTCTAGACCCCCAATGGGCCTGGCTCGACCATTTGAGTGCCGCCGACGAACACTGTGTTGTTCCTGGCAAAACGACAAAGTGCCGCGGTCGGAACAGCACTTGCAGAATCGGGGAGTGAAAAAAATGGCCTTGGGTCCAGCATGGCATTCGCCGATTTGTGCCATCGGCCGGGCTCCGGGTATGACGACATTGGCTGACACGAGGCTGTTTTTCTCACAGTGAAGGCATTCCTGTCCCATGCTACTCCCATTTGCCAAGTGCCTTGACATGGTGCTTAAGATCTGCGTTGTTGCCTCGCAATGGCAGTCTGCGCTATGCCTCTGTCTCCCGTGCAGGAAGCCCACCTTGCGATTCCCTAACCATCAAGGTTGTATGTCACATCCAGAAACCGACGCCCGAAGCTCCATCTATTCCATCATTGTCCTCGGGGCGACCAACCATTATCCATGCCGCCTCCTTCCTTCATCATGCTTCCCCAGGAGGATTTTTTGTCCTCCATGGTTATGGGCCAGCAACAGTTTATACAGCAGCTCACCGGCGGCAGCTTCCACGCAGAGTTCCAATGGCTTGATGGACATGGATACTATGCGCCCCAGTCGCAGGCGGGCACACCCTTCTTCGAAGCACCCGGGCCTAACCTGGGGTCTCTGCTGCTCGACGTGCTGTCGGGCCAGCAGCAGGCCACGCCATCCATCTCCGAGGCCCCAACGCCATATATCCTCCCACTCTTGGAGTCGTCGCCCGTCGTCGGTGCTCCCTTGGCTCATCCGCCGGCTCAGCCACTGCCAACTGCGGATGAGGTGCCGTCCTCAAGCCTAAACCACCCATCTGCAATCTCCAAGGAGTGCGGGATCTGTCGCCAGGTCCTGGGGAACTCCAGCGACCTCATGTGAGTCCTCCTGCGTGCGTCTGGGGCGCCATATCACCAGTCCAACTCTGACTGTTTGCAACAATCACAGAGACCATCTCGAGGCTGCCCACGAGCCGCGGCGGCACTGGTGTGGACTCGCCAAGTGCCCCGACTTCAAGGATCGCCGGTCCGTCCTGCGCCATCTCAACACCTCCACCAAGCACCTCAGCCGCCAGTTCCAGTGCCGCTGCGGCAAGCAGCTGGGGCGCAAGGACAGCTTCAGGCAGCACCTCAGAAAGTGCCGCGCCAGAGACATTGACGTCACGCGCGGTCCATGTGGCGCGGCCACGGATAGCTCTGCTCGCGCAGAGGTCATGGACTTTCCGTATGTCTGCCCTTGCGGGCACTCCGTATTTGCCGCGTCAGGCTCTGTGGGTTCTGACCTTGTCGGGGCAAGAGATGTCTCTCGAGAGGAGTTCGAAGCACATTTTGAGGCCTGTACTTTCGTCAAGGCCGTGAGAGCGAGAGGGAGGCCGAGAAAGCTATGACTAGTAGCCCAGCAGCTATCATTTGCACGACGAGAAACCTCTAAAGCCTCTGGTGTTTCCACTTTTCTGATCAAAGCCGCAAGCGAAACATCTCATAAAATCATCGACGACCGTTCCATCGTTGGGGGATAAGCTAGGATGAGCAAGCACCACTCTAAGCGGTGTCCTGCATCTCGTACCGTCTCATCATACCCCCTAGACCCGTCTCTATTGAATAACACATACCCGGGAATCCTTCCATCCATCATCGGGCGTTGCTGAGAGCAGCGGGCTCAAGGTTTGCTTTTTTGGTTTGTTTCTTTCGATTACCGATTTCTTTTTGTTACTTTTGCTTCGTGAGTCCCGTCCCGCCGCTCTCTTTGTTCTTTTTGCTTCTTTTTTTTTCACTTGGTTCGTTTCGTTTTGTTGCTACTTGGCTAGAGGTCTCGACGCCCGCCTAGTCTCTCGTGGTATATTTCCTCATTCCTATCATCCAAGGGGGTTTCGGCGCGAACGGGGTTCTTGCCACCTTGGCCGGGAACCGAGCCCAGTTCTTGCGCCGCAGCCCCTGGGTATAGCATGGCGTGAGATCGGTTAGGTTCCGCTCCGCGAAGTAGTCGTCTGGCTGCGACACTGCCTCCACTTCCGAACTCGCGAGGCTGCCCGACTTGTGGCTCAACGTCTCCATGCCCTCCTCCATGAGGCGCTGGAGGACCTTCTGCGATACTTCAGGGAACTCTTGGTCAGAGCTCTCGTCGCTATCGGCCGACATGTCGACACGGGAGACTCGGCCGTCTTGGTCGGAGGCCTCATCACGCTGTCCATCTGGAGTTGGGACCAGATCGGTTTGCCAATCGTTTTCGGAGGCCCTGAGACACGGCTAGCTAGGGCTGGCGACGGCGGGGGTATCTCGGTTGGCGGTGGTGATGAGGCGAGTCGCGTGCCGCTTCCAATTCCGGCCGACCAGTTTCTGCATCCAAAACGGCATTAGCGGCCAGCCCACCCAAGTAGAACGTAAAGGAAGAAACGGGCAGGATATCAGGCAAGGAAGGAAACTCGAGTGAGGATACTTACGCCGCTGGATAGGCCTACTGACAAGCCTTGACCGACGCACTCTGCGTTCCGTCCAGCCCTCTTGATGGCGCGAGAGAGACAGCACCCAGTGACGGACTGGGAAAAGGCAGCGGGCTGACAGGCGTGTTGATAATTGCCCGGTCGCGAGGCGAAGTCCCCGTCAGGGGTGTTGATAATGCTTGTGCCAAGGCTCAGAATTTCGATCCACGCGGCTAGGAAGGTGGAAATGTCGATGCTTGTATGAGGTGGCGATAGCCTCAATCTCTCCCGCCATCTCAGCGGCGATCTGCATGTCGTCAACGTACAGCAGAAGCATCGCCCCGGTACCCTTTCTCGTGTAAAGGCAGACGTCTTGATGCAGCGGGGTGAAACCCAACTTCTCAAGCTCGGGCGTGATGGTCAGTGTATGAGGTGGGGCCTAGGGCACACCTCATACAATGCTGGCTGGTAGATAGAGTCCAAAGGACCACGCCCGAAACGCGCGTGCATTTGCGGTTGGCTTTGTGACAACCGAATCAAGCGGTGCGGCCCCGCTGTCCTTGGCTATAGCAAGGCTTTTCTTGCGAATGGCAGCGGAAGCAGGCTTCCGCCCGCCGAAAGCCGGCGGAGCTGTGGTCGAGCAGCCCAGGCTGGGAGGTGCCCAACCTCCCAGCGCGGCGGATGGCATAACTCGATGCTTCAAGTGTTGGTCATCTGGACGAGCCGTAGTTGTTGGTTATCTGTGTTAAATGAAATTCCCTGCTCTAGGTCCGGTGGAATGATCATGGCAGGCATGGCTACATACAAAGCTATATATGGCGCGGCATTTTCGTGTAGATCCTGCTTTTCTCCGATGCTGAGGAAAAAGATGTGGCGAGGCTGTGAACAAACTTTATCTGGAGGTTATGACGGACAAAGGGTGCAAGATATGGTCTATTGTGTGCTTATCTAGATCTCTGAAGGGAAGGGAAGACGGGTACAAGGCCGAGGGCCTTGTGCCCTCCTTATACAGTGATCTCCTCTCTTGCAGGTGCGGTACCCACTACCGCACCCCTGTCATTGCCGACGAGTGCTGGGTAAGCATCTGCCCGCTACCCGTGCAGATCTTCCGTGCCAAGACCTGGAACAGTGTGCCGGCCCTTGGTGATAGCCTCCTTTGTGACAGAGGTGCACAAGCAGAGGCACGGACTAGGAACTAAGGGAGATAAGCAAGAGAGGAGGCTCTGTCCTGATTTGTGGGGCCTTCCCCGGACTTTTGGGGCGCTGCAGGTGATGGATAAGTGACTGATGCAGCGGGTTGGTTCCGAATCTGGGAGGGACCAAGGACGGAAAATAGGGAGACTTCCCATTGAGCTCTTCAACTTGATCTATACAAAAAAAATATCGTGCCGTTACTGGCGCAAAGCAGCCCGACCAGGATACGAAAGACTCTATTTCCATGTCGCATGTCATGGAGTCAAATCCTCTCTCAAAAGCAGGCTATAATATGTTGGTATGCGCTCATCGGCAGAATGCTCGCGAGAACAAAGAGATCACTTCTCCTTCTGCGCCTCGGGTGCCACAACACCACCGGCGCCCTGCTCGGTCCGAGCCCCATTGTCCGGCGAGCCCCTCCGCTCGGGCGAGTCGGCGGATCCCTTGGTGTCGAAGTGGTGCTCCTCCTGGAGCGGGACGCCGCCGCCCTGGGTGGTAGCAGCAGGGCCGCCGACGGCCTGCGCCTCGGAGACGGAGCGGTCGTCGGAGCGCCAAAAGTCGCGCTTGCCCTTGGTGATGCGGACGAGCCAGGGCGGCAGCACGCCGCCGGGGATCCTCCAGGTCCAGGGGTCCTTCTTGTCCTTGTTGGGCGGCACGATGCGGCCGCCCGAGGCCTTCTCGACCACCCAGACCAACGTGTTGATGACGATGTACAGGCAGACGCCGGCGATGAGGCCGTCGGCGATGGAGTAGGTGAAAGGCACTGCGGTGGAGGGGGACAAGGTCAGCGGGGATGGCAATAGGGTTTTGTCCCAGATGCTGGGGAAACTTACTCAGAGCCAAGGTCACAAAGCTGCAAACCGCATCGGGAATGTACTCCCAGTTGATATCCTTGACTTGACGGATCATCATGGAGCCTACCAGGATCAGGACGCAGCCTGTGGCCCAGGGCGGGATCGAGGCGAAGATGGGCGCAAAGAAGATGGAGATGAAGAAGCACAGGCCGGTGAACATGGCAGTGAGGCCGGTCTTACCGCCCTCAGAGATGCCGGCACCGGACTCGATGAAGGCCGTGACGGGTGGGGTTCCCAACAGGGCGCCGATGGAGATGGAGATCGAGTCGACCATGTAGGCGGCCGTGGAGCCTTCAAAGTCCTGGGTCACGGGGTCCATAAGGTCGGCGTGTTTGGCCATGGCGTAGAGCGTGCCGGTGCAGTCCAGGATATCTACGTAGAGAAACGTGATCAAGGCCAGCTACAAGAGGTCAGTAGAGTGTTCCCAAAAGTAACATGACCCCATCCGCCAAAGCTGGGGGAGAGCTGCTTACCCCGAACTGTCCACTGTACTGGGAAATGCTCCATTCCTGGACGTTGAGGACGCGCGAGATGGGGTGGAAGTCGACAACTTTGCGGAAGAACTCAAAGTTGTTGTCGCCCACGGGCGTGTAGGGGAAGTAGGTAACCTCGGTGCCGCGGGGCCACGAGATGACGGACACGAGGATGATGCCTGCGATGATGGCGCCTTTAACGCGGTACATCATCAGGAAGACGGTGAAGATTCCGCCGCAGAAGATGCCGATCCACATGGTCGGATTGCGCATCTTGGCGTAGTCCGGGCAGCCGAGCAGGTCGCCGTTGGCGGCAACCTTGCGGTCGCTCGCCTTGCAGCCCGCGAGCTCGAGGGGCGTGGAGACGCCGCCGACGATGAGGCCGATGCCCTGCCCGTAGGTCAGGCCGATCAGGGTCAGGAAGAGCCCGATGCCAACGCTGGTGGCGAGCTTGATGGAGCGAGGGATCGCGCGGGCCAGCCACTGGCGCATGCCGAGCAGGGCCAGGGCGAAGAATATGAAGCCCTCGACAAAGATGGCGGTCACGGCCACGCTGTAGGGCACGGTGCCGGTGCCGTGGAAGCCGACGACGGTAAAGGCGAAGTAGGCGTTGAGCCCCATACCGGGCGCGATGCCGACGGGGAGGTTCGCGAGCAGGCCCATGAAGAAGGTCCCCAGAGCCGAGATGGCGGCCGTGGCCGTGATCAGGTCACGCTTGATCTCGTTCTGTTGGGGTTGGTGATATAGATCAGCTCGGGATTTCGGTTTAAACGGGGGGAAGAGCGACGAGGCCCAAGGCGGATATAACAACCGCCCCCGAGCCGCCCGCGAGAGTGCTGGAGGAAGCGTACCTTGCAGATAGCATATTCCTGGTTGTTTAAACATATAGGGTCCGACGGAGTGCTATTGCAGACGCAGGTGCCGCCGGAATCGCTCACGATTGAGGCATTGACAGCAATGATGCTATAAGACGACGGGCGGTTGCTGTCAGAAAGTTTGACCCCTTGACTGTTTGCTACCGCTCTCCCCAAGTCACTGGCACAGACCAATCACTTACTACGACATGGCGAAGAAGGTAGCAAGGCCGGCGCGCATCTCGGTGAAGAAGTATGAGCCCTTGCGCTCTTTTGGGTGACCGGAGCCATCGAGCTTGAACCAGCGGCCCACCGCCGATTTGGCGACGGCCTGGTTTGCCTTGTGAGTCCACCCCATGGTGACAGACGGCGCGGTTTTCGGTCGTTTGCTGTTTGCCGTTTGCCGGAGAAGGGAGCACGCGACTAGATCGTGGAGCGGATCCGGGCGGGCGCAAAGAAAGATTGCCGGAGCAAACCCGGAGCAATCAGCAAGACAAAGTTTGCCAGGCCAGAGAGGCACTACAAGCGGCAACAATCTAGTCTGCAAGGAGCATCGAAGCTCACTCAACGTCGCCCCGAGAGTTGGGGGAAGGGGGTTGTGGCTTGCTCAAACCCATGTGGAAACGGGTGGGCAAACCCTTTTTGTAGCTACCAACAAAAAGAAATCCCAGTGACAACCTGGAGAGGAACCGGCCGGCTATCTGGACCGATTTGGCATGGTAATGATCAAAAAGATTCTGTGGAGAGGGAGGATACCAAGATAAGTGCCCTCGGGGATTCCGAATCCGGCAGTAGTACTTTTTTTACGCTGATCTACACGGCCCTGGATCGCACGAGATACAGTCGGAGATGGGGAGCCACGGCCCATGCGAAGGTTGCATTGGCTGCACAGTCCAGTATGAGAGATCTGACTGCAGCTGTGCGGTCCCATGTCAAAAGATGGGGCTGGGCTGGGCTGGCTGGGACCCCAGAAAAAATCTGTATACCGAGCTGGTCGCATCAGAGACCGAGTCACGGCAGCAGCACGGCAACCTCTCGCCCTCCCACGCGGGGACTGCTGCCAAGGGATCTTGGCCCCTGATGGACGATGGGGATAGGCCAGCGGGCAGCGGCATGGGCTGTACTCAGTACCAGTAGCCTTAGGAACCCCCATCAGTGTTGTCCGGGGAGAAGAGTTGTCTGGCTGGGACGGCTGGACGCGCCCTCGACGCCGGTGACATCGCGCAAGCTCAGACGGCCCAATCAGGACGGCCTACCACTGTCGCAGGGGAATGGCGCTGTCACTGATAACGCTATCCCGCCTCTGGAGACCTGATCCCTGGTGCGGGTGGGGTGTTCATTCGTGCAGACACAAGGGGCTGCGCGCTGCGCTCATGCTCAAGAACTTGTCTGGATGCAAAAGGCGTGTGTTGCTTTGGGGTGCGAGCGGTGCGCCTCGAGTTTGCGCAGCCATAGTCGGAGCGAACAGCCACACCATCAACCACAAACCCTAGGGACAGGTGGTACCTACCTGGTATTTCCGTGGGTTCGTCTCGAGGTGCGTTACCGTGGGTACTGGTCTTGGGCGCATTACAAAAACATGGAGACCCATGCCCAGGCCTTGCCCCTCCTCCCCGCCCCGCGACAATGAGAAAAAAAAAATACAAAGAAAAGAAATCACATTGTGGGCCCCATCCCCATCTTCGACCACGCGTCAAGATAAGAAAACCGACGCCACCGAAGCTATGGCTTGCGCTAAATGCCCGACCCGCGCTCAGCTCTGTATTGACGTCCTCGACGCGCGACAGCCCTCACATCCTTAGCTCGAGATTACATGCAAGGCGGCTCCAATAGGATGTTCTCGAGAGCCGCTCATCCTTGATGACATGTGGTTATCTATCCCGCTGCTCATACATTCCAGCACACATCGGCAAAGCACCAATGGGCTTCCTCCGATTCACCCTCCTTCAGTTCTTCCCCCACGACCATCCCGCCCGTGTCGTTCGCTCGATCCCCAGGCCTTGTTCGACCCGGCCGGTGCCGACCCCCAGATTCCCGGTGCCTTGGTGTTCCAGGGGCTCCAGCCTCTCGGGCTGTCCCGCCCCGACAGAAGCACCCGCAGTGTGACAGCACGTCCGGAGCGGTGTATATCGCCCACCGATCCATGGCCACTCGACCCCCAGATTTGCAGAACGTTCCTGGCTTTGTGATGCCCTTTTGTCTATCACGGGGAGATCTAGCGGTGTCAGATTGAAAGCCGATGAACTGTGCGGTCAGATCTGAGTCTGTAGCAGCATGGCACGGCGTGTGTGCGCCCGAGACCAGGAACAAGGCAGCGTGTTAGTAGTTCAAGGACACGAGCAGGACCAGATTTCCTGGCTGCCCAACCCATGCCCGAACACCCGTGTCCCTGTAACTCTCGTCATCTAGAACCGTCTTGTTTCATTCTGACACGCGCAGAAAACAAAGGCTGCCCATTCCCGATATTAACCTCGCGTAACCATCTTGGTCAGGGCTCACCGTACATTCTGTCCGCCGCTGCCATGTGGGGATCCTGACCGCCCCCCTGCCTTCCGTCCTCCCTCGGCCGGGACACGGGATGGCGCTGAACGCCTGTCGTGCGCAACGGCCTCGCACAAAGCAACCTCCGAGCTTGGACTCTGGGTACGGTGATGGTTCCATACACTTATTGCACAAGTTCACGTTCCTCGCCTCAGGTGACACAACTTATCCTACCGCCGCTCGTATAAGCGGTAGATATGCGAGTCACATTGCGTTGCGGCGCATCTAGGCACCTATCTATACCTGAGGCACATGGGTGCCTGCGCCGACGTTTTAGAAGGCGTGGCTGCCCGACACGTGTGCGATTTATTCTCGATCTGCCTCTCTGCCCTTTTCTGTGCCACTTCCGCCTAGCGGTGTGTGTAAAGGATATACAGCTTTCTTCCGGGCGGCCTCCTAGTCGGTCTGGAAATGCAGTCCTATCCAGTACTACATACAACCAAACAAAAAAAAAAACGTACAACACCGAGGATTCCCCAGATTCCTTACAGTTTGTTTTCCTCCCTTCTGGTTTCTTTCCTTTTTTTGCTTTCATTTCCCCCTTCCAATCTCTTTTTTAACCCCTAGCCGTCGCAGTTATCAAATTCGGGCTTTTAGTCGGTATCGGGGGCGGGATTGACCGGCCAGACGACGGCTGCGATATCCGTTTGGGGGATATTGTCGTTAGCTAGCCCCAACATGCGTGGCTCTCCCGATACGAGATGCGCGCAAGTGTGGTGGCGCGGGAGGTGGAGTTCGCCGCCCCCCAGCCCTACGTTCCCGAGTCCTTGGCGATCTGTTCCTGATATCGGTGCTTCTTATTGGCTACGGCTGATTGAAGGCAGTATTTCCTCGCTATATATCTGCCTAATTGATCGGAGCTTTTATTTCTCCTCAAGAACATTGCCCACCGACCGCGCCGCCCTCGGCAGACGACAGCAGCTCACATGGCGCCCTCGTGCGGGAGCTCCTGGCTTCTGGGGATGGTGAGGTTCTGGGTTTCGAGCAGTTCGACGAGCTGCTGCAGAACCGCCAGGCCGATGTCCAAGCCGGCCTCGACAATGTGTTTGATGATTTCTTCGCGGCTGGGGCCGAGTAGCTTTGAGAAGAGGATTCGTATGGGAAGCCTATGGCGCATATTGCTCGAGATTGTTTGGGACAAAAGGTCACGCGGTGGGTAGTAGCTACTTGGAGTTACACTGAACCCTGACGTTCTGTCCATCGGGGCCTGCACAGATCTAAGCCGGAGGCAGTGCTGTGCGGGTGCGCTCATCTAGCGGAGGCTGCCTGGAGGACCTGCCAGCCCATGCGCCCTGGACCCCTCGCGCGCGCTGTGACAGTCTTATACCAGTGTATACCGGCCTCCACAAGACAATGTAAACTGCCACATGCCCTGCACCATGCCCGTAACCCTGAACTTCCGCTGAGGCTGTCCCGTTCCGGCGGTAGCCACTGCTGCTACCACCTCCTCCACGACCCACGACACGGCCATGCTCCGCATCTCCGGCCTCGGGATCGACTCCAAGACCGGCTGGAAGGGCACCAGCACCCGCACGCTCCCGTCAGGGCTCCCGTCCAAGTCAAAGACGGCCCGCTGCTTTCTTTCCTTTGTCTTGTTCTCTGCTATATCGATCACGCTTTGGGCATAAATCGCTATGTTAAGTGGGTCGGCCGCGACATAAGAGTCTACGGACCGTGTCGTCTCCTCAGGTTCCTGGATCTCGTAAAAGTGAGCCATCTGTTTTGCCATCAAATTCAGCATAAACATGCGTTGAGAATGCGAGTCGGGCAGGGTTCCTGGTCCAGTTTCCTGGTGGCTATGCGAGAAAGGATCTTCATTCACGTTCGCGGTGGTCTCGGTGGCCATCTCTGAGCCGCCGCTTGTGTCGTCGATCTCGACGACGCCGTCGGCTCCTCGGCTTGCATTGTCGGCCTCGAGGGAAGGACCTGTCGCCTCGAGCGTTCCGGTCCAGAAGCCCCCTTTCTCCATTGCCCTGTCGACAATCCAGCACTGGTGGAACCAGCCATCCCGGCTCGGTTCCAGAGAGAACATGCCTCTGCGGTTTTCGACTGATAGGCCCGGCGGGAACTCGTCAACCGATTCGATGATGCCCGATCCCCATGCAACGCTACTGGGGTCTTTTTCTCTTTGCCAATACGGGCTCGAAGTCGAGTTCAAGACCGCATTGGCCAGTTGTTTTTCGCCTTTGGAGACCAGGGTGTCGAGAATCTCAAAGAGTAGATGCGTCGTGGCGAGCTTGGCGGTGTGTGTGGGAGGCTGGGATCTTCCGTTGGCACGGCGCAGCCGTAGCCACGATTCGGCGTGCTTGGTTTGGAGCCGTCTCAGCTCGACAAACCTGTCGACCCTCCAGAGGTTTCCGATTGCGCTGAGCCCGTCCGCAGATAGCGAGACCCACTGCGCAACGGTGGAACCGGCCAAGTTCCCCGAAGGATTATAACTTCCAGCCTGCACATCCTGTATCCGCTTGGTAAGGGAATGCGCCCAGGAGAAATCCGCGGGAATGCCAGGGAACTCTACGGGCCTTGCGTTAGTCGAGACATGTATAAATGTCGGCGTAAAAAGTGATAGGAACGGCGAGGACAAGCCGGCCACTTACCGATCGACGAACATTCCGGCCCCCGATACAATTGCGGAACCATTAGGGAAAAGTCGCCATTTATAATTGCGAGAACAAAGCAGCATATTGCTAAGCTGGGCTGCGTTTTGCCGAGATGTGTTGTGTTCAAACGTAACCTGTAGCCGCACATGTTTGCCACGATTGCCAGTTTGTCCGCCACCCTCTCCAGGTCTCGCAGCCGAAGGTATGCCACAGCAACCGAAGCGCTGCATTGATCCGGTTCCCTCCGCTTGTTGATATAAGCGGAACCGCCGGACGAGGACGTCTCGGGGTGAAAGTATTGTATCCGTTCGGAAGTGCTTGTTCGCGCTCGTGTCGGTTGGCGCTTCTTCGCCAGCATGAGCTGGCCTGAAATTGCCAGAGGCAGCGATTGCGCGAACCGGGCTATACACCCCTGCATAAGGCCGAGCAGTACTGCAAGTTCCGATTGCGATGCCTCGTGACACACCAATGACAAGCCCCTAACATCAATCCCCTCCGCCCTGGGCAAGAGGAGGACCATGTTGCCGCTCGAGGAGAAGGCCTCTTGAAGAACCCATGCCCGTGTATTCCATTTGTCGTTGACGATCATGGACACGGTCTCGCGGATGAGATCGAACTTCGGGGGTCTCGCACCACGGCGCCTGTCCTCAATCGCCGGCAGCGGTCCGCGGCGCGTATTACGGAGCTTGCTGGGCATCAGGTGAGCGCAAAGCATCGAAAGACATTCGAGGTGTCTCTGTTCCAAACGGGTCTGGAACAGCCCAATCGACTGCTCAGCCTTTAGGTAGACGAGATCCATAGAGTGGATGGCGAGCTCCTTCTCCTTCGCGTCGGTTTGGTTGATACACTCCTGAATAAATCGCAGCAGGCATTTATTATCAGCACCCACTAGTCAATAGACCGGCTATTATTTGTATTACGCAGGGGGTCATTATCGCACCTGGTCGATCCAGATCATCCGAAACCCATTTTCGCGAGCGAACGCCACGACGCGGTCGATGGTGCTGTTCTGCGCCCGGATGTCGCGTACGCTGCCATCCTCCTCGACGACCTTGTACGGCCCCGAGCCGTTGTCGCCGCTTTCACTGGACCAGCAGTACGAGACGGCGACGAAATGGGTGCACCAGTGGTGGTCGACGGAGCCGGCTGCGTGCACCCGCCGGATCCGGAACCTTGTTACTGTGCCTTGGTTTGGGAACGGCGGGATGCGAGCGCACGCTTGGCACCAATTCTCTCGCACGTGCACGCACGGGTCTGAAAATTTGTACAGCTCGAGCTCTCTCTCCCTCCTCAAACCATCGTTGAGCCCGAATCGGAACATGTGTTGAGCACAGGAGTGTCCGGGGGGCGGAGGCAGTCTCTGCTCGCACGGCAGACACTGCCCACGGGGTTCAGCCGTATCCTGGTGCTGGTTGCCAGTTTGAGCGGCCAGTTCCGTGTTGCTGCCGTGGGGCTCGTCCTCGTTTGCATCATCGAAAGTCAAGAAGCGAAGGCTGGAAAGCCATCGCTGGGATTCGATTCTCGCAACCGGGTGTTTGAGGATTTCGTTGATGTGATCCGACACTCGAAGAGCCGCTTGTGGCATTGTCGGTCCTTGGGCGCCATGCTGAACTTGAAGCGTATCGTCAATCATAGTGGTTGTGACAGCACGCCCCCCGCCGAAATGTTGTGAAGAATGAACGCGGAAGTGTACAAAGGTCGATCTATCGGCTTCTTGGATTTTTGAGGCAGCCAACACTATTAAAATAGGTATGCTAGAGATCAATTGTGCTGCCTAAATGTTGGGAAGCGAAGGTCGTACAGTTCGTGGTGTCATGCCGTGTCTGTGCGACAATATAAAAAACCTCGTCTGTTTTTTCTACATCTTCAAGTCGAGCCCGGTCCATGCCGGCTTCCTCAAGGCAGTGTAACATGAGTTGATGATGTTTTTAGATTGCTATTAGCGCCGTGGCGCAAGGCTCCCACCACTGTTCGTTACAGGCAGGACTGCATAAACCTGCTGGGAGAGATCCGATTGCTTGGGCGCTTTGCTTAGGATCATGCAGCTCACATGAGCCGGGTGCCGTAGCCGACACTGCCTCGATTTCTACTATGAGATAAGCGGCATGTACTACGAACGCAGCCTGGCCAAGAATTTCCAGGCTGCAGTGCCCCGCGATGGCGATCCTCAGTCGCCTTGTCGTCCCTTCCTCAGAGTATTGATACTATTGCATCTTCCAAAGGTGCGTGTGCACAAAAAATGCCAGGACAGTTCAACGAGACAAGTTCATCGATGCGGGAACTAGAGGGGAGTAGAGATATACCACATTAGCCCCGACTTGCCTGTGCAGTGAGAGAGGAAGTCGAAGACCATTTTCTTTTGTTCCTCCCCCGGAGTCAAACCTCCCTATTCCCCCTTCCATTATGGATCCCCACGCTGGATTTGACGACGTCTCTCCCGGCGACGCCGAGAAAAAGGTTAAAGAAGCCCAGGAGAGCGAGCCAATCAAGGTCGGCATGACCGTCGAGACGAAGGACCTGTTCAGGGACGACCATCGCGAGCCGTGGCAGGAGTGGGCCCCAGACGACATCGGGATTGCCTCCAAGTCCACGCCAGCCTCTGCCAAGTTTGCGCTGATCGTGAGGCGCGAGAAGAAGAACGGCAAGACAGACGAGCCGGTCCTCGCACTGCACTCTATCACGGTGCAGAGTCCGATCATCAAGAAGCTTCTCGGGCCGGTGTTCGCGGGATACCGGGGCATCAACACAAACCTGAAGAACCAGGAGTTCCGCGCGCCGTTCCACGAGTTCTTCTATCGGTGGGGCCTCTTTTGCGCAGCCGAGCCTGCCCAGGACCAGGGGGAGGAGGGCGAGGTGGAGAGGCAGCACTACAAGCTACTGTTCGACATCATCAGCCCAGAGATTGCGACAAGCATCGATCAGACCAAGGACCTGCTGAAGAATGGCGTCATCTCATTCGAGTACGTGTGGGCGCTGTTCGAACCGGGCATCGAGGTTTACTCGAGCATCGATGGGCAGGACCGCCTGTCCCTCCTTGACAGTAGCGGCTACCAGAAGCTACCCGATGGCAGCGTAAGCTTCAAGCTCACCTGTCGGTACGTCGGGACCGACGGGACGCACTTTGGGTTCGTATCTACGTCTCAGTCGATCAGCCAGTTCGACAAGTTGATGCCCGTGGTCGAGCTGAATGTACTCCCGAGCCATTTACATCCTGGAATCGATGAGATACGGCCGGTGCTGGAGGAGAAGGGCAAGAAGTTTGAAAGCCTGCTAGGCGTGCACCATAAGTCGTATTTTGGCTTTTACACCCTGCTCAGAATGCAAAACGGGGCCTCGAACAAGCAATTTGTGAGTTCCTCAGAAACCCCAACAACACGCCCCGCTCCGATGCAGAAGCTCACAAGACATTCCACCTTAGGGCGAAAATGCCAGGATCATGGTCGACTGTGGCTCGTTTATGAGACACAACAGCGGATCGTCCATTGACCTGCTTCCGTTGGACCCAGGAACCGTGGGCTCGAGCCGTCCAGGTGACCCATTGGACCCCTCCACCAGCCTCGATGTTCTCCATGACGACTACGACGACTTGGCCTCTAGGACGATGAGACTGATGGCGCAAAGGGCTAGCCGAATGCATTCTATAGGCTTGAAGAGATCTCAAGGTTCGATTTTGCTCTTTCAATACAATATCAACCTTACTCACTCTCCGATCAAGCCTGACGAAAGAGACATTGACCCCTGAACATCAACAGCCACATCTCTCGGTAAACAGCATTACGCCCTATGCACACCGCTGGTTAGAGGATATTGCCTGACTAGCAAGAAGTGGGGTCAGTAGAGCTCAGAATCCGCGCAAGAGAAAGCGATCTGTTTGAATGACAAGGGTCAAAGAAGCGCAAGGGGGGCTGACCGTGAGCTCTGCAGGCTACTTCAACGTCGATGCAATCCGCGACATCACCTGGAACGAACTGGCATTTAAGCGGCTCGTGCTCCCGCACGACTACAAGGAGACCGTCTTGGCGTTTGTTCATGCTCAGCTATCCCATGCCGACAACTTCGACGACGTGATCGAGGGCAAAGGTTCGAACCACTGGGGTTGATGCTCCCCAGTCTAACTCCTTCAAGTTCGTTTTTTTTGTTGCGTCTGTACGTGGCCGGGCTAACCGAATCACAACAATCGCAGGCCAAGGCATCATTATGCTCTTGAGTGGGGAGCCAGGCACCGGGAAAACGCTGACCTCGGAGTCAGGTAGGCCAACCACAAACACAGTCCTCTCACTTGTGCGCGAGCTAACAACATGCCACCCTCACCCCCTTGTCCCCACCAGTGGCCGAGGAGATGAAGCGGCCGCTGTACGCAATCGCGGCCGGCGAGCTCGGCAGCGACGCGGGCCAGGTCGAGGAGAGCCTGAGGCGGGTGCTGGACCTCTCGACGCGCTGGGGCGCCGTGCTCCTGCTCGACGAGTGCGACGTGTTCCTGGAGCGCCGCAGCTCCTCAAACGTTCTCCGCAACCAGCTCGTGTCCGTCTTCCTGCGCCTCCTCGAGTACTACCGGGGCGTGCTGCTCATGACGACCAACCGCGCCGAGAACCTCGACCCGGCGTTCGAGTCGCGCATCCATTTGTCCATCAGGTACCCGCGGCTGGATTGTGTGAGCAGGTTGGAGATCTGGCGGACTTTTGCCGGGAAGAGGAAGGAGGGAGGGAAGGGGATGGAAGGGCTCGAGGAGGAAGAGCTTGCCGAACTGGCCGGCGAGGAGCTGAACGGGAGGCAGATCAAGAACGTGGTCAAGACGGCGAGGCTGCTGGCGGCGCGGTCTGGCGGGCTTCTGAGGCTCGAGCATGTCAAGATGGTGCTGCGGGTTAAGAACGGGGAGGCCGCTGGTTTTGCGGCGAAGTATTGACCGGTGGAAACCACCCACCTGACGACGAATACGGCTTATAACGCTTATGGCACGAAGCTAATATAAAAACTGCCCTCTTTTTCAACGTCGGAGCCTTTATCCCTTGCCCCAAGTACTTAAAACTTGATAGTCCTTGTAATGGCCGACCCTACTGATTCTAGAATAGCTCGTAGCCGTTGGTGACCAGTCCTCCGGTAGGAGCTCCGAGCTTGAGAGCTTGGCGACAAGGTGTTTGATGATTTCTTCGCGGCTGGGGCCAAGTAGCTTTGAGAAGAGGGTTAGTGTGAGAAGCCTGTCGCGCGCTCCGCTCCAGATCATTGAGGGCAAAGGGCTACGCGACAGCGGTGACTGCATGGAAGATACAAGGTTCTAAAGTTCTGGGATCCCATCGGCTCCTTAAGTACCAGTTCGGCCCTCACTAGCTTGACTAGGGGAGAGCGGACGGGATCCCGTATATTCCAGTTGGTATGGTGTGGCATCTTAGTGCGGTGAGTTGATTTATAGATGTGATGAAGCACGCGAAACTTCCCAGTCAGGTTAATAGCCACTATTTTGCGAAGACCCTCCTCGAGCTTGTATATGCAAGCTATTACGAGAATGGACATCGCACGAGAAAACTCCAGATATGATGCCAAGTTTTGTTGCCCACATGGCTTCTCACTCCTGGAGATGAAATCAGCACTGATTCTGTATCCATATCATTGTCGTCGAACACGTATGTGGATTTGGACGGGCGGCGTTCGTTTGCCTGCATGTTGCACAGTGCTCTCAGCCTCGCGCTGCCTAGTCTGAATGTATCCCCTTCTAAAAAAAAGACAGATGCAAGCCATCAGTAGTGAGTGGGAGAGAGGAGATGAAGCTTCTTCATGTGCTTCCACTCTCCTCGATCGAGCACGCCGGAAGCCTGTTTCCCGGCAGCAGCTCCTCGACGTACGACGCGTTCTTCTTGAAAAAGTCGAGCCAGGCAAGGTACCCCTCGCACTCCGGGTCCTCCCAATCCTCTCCTTCTGGCGGGTCCAGTCTGGCCAATGCCTGGCCCTCGGGCGACAGGATCTTGACGACATAACACTTTCCCTCGTCCCAGTCCTCGAGGATGCGCTCGTCCGGCTGCACGTGCCACGTATTGTCCTGGTGGTGCGCGCGCATGTAGGCGAGCCGCTCCTCGTCCGTGGCCAGGCCTTCGTACGTGCGGCCCTCGGGCGTGTCGCAGAAGATCTTGAGCAGGTTGTGGCGCATGCCGTCCTCCGACACCTCGTCCTTGAGCGAGTGGCTGGGCCGGTAGCCGGCGGGCCAGTCCGGGCCGTACACCACCGCACCGGCGGCGTCGGGAACCTCTGTGCTTACCACTGTTTCTGCTCCTGCTGCTGTAGTATTGCCCAGCTCTGGCGCGGCGGTGCTTTTTCCTGTGGGCTGGATAGTAGACTCGGAGACGGCTGTGTCCATGTCGACTGGGGTATTCCTGCACTCGTAAATACGGTTGGACCAAAGCGAAGAAATTGAAGATAGTCGACGTGGCTTGCTCGAGTGCGGATGTACGTTGCAACGAAGAATGGCAACGGTGGTTGCGCAAGAAAATCCAAAAGCGTGACGGGTAGATTGTGCGATAAATTTTGCTACACCACCCCCAAAACCCTCTGGGTGATCTAAGCCAACCAACAACCTACCACCCATGTAAGCAAAGCCACAGGATGGTTGTTCAGGAATGGCAGGTTTTCGATCAATGATTTAGGATAGCAAAAACACAGTTAAGATGAGAATATGGCGACACCAAGGATTCTCCAGTAGTCACCCACCTAAGTAATGGTTCGGCCCTTGCATCGTTTAACTAAAGAAAAAGAGGCTTCCTTAAATGGACGCTTTTGTATCCAAAAATAAAGGCTTTTTTCCCCAACGTCCTGAGCCCCTGCAGCGATTTAATCAACCGAGGAACAGGAGCGGCGAATTAGTCGATTGGGGTCACAGGTTGGTCGCGCACAGCAAACAAAACTCACAATGTACTGGTAACTAACTGCAGTTTTGCTAGTAGCTGTCACAGTGACACTGCAGGCCCTTTTCCGGGGGCCATGGTAGCTCGGCTCACTTGGAGTGCTAGGAGCCATTCTACATCCCCACCTTCGAGGACGGCACCTCGATAAGTTACGCGAAAGCTGTCTAGGCCGGATGCCCAACAGAGAGAGGTTACTGCCCAAACTGCAGTACCCCTCTCATCCGTACCAATCCAAAAGACACAGGCCTCGCGACTGCTTATGTGGAATTTGATGTTTCCCCCAAACTAGCGACATCTCAAATCCTCGGTTGACTGTTGACTTCGACCGTTCGGCTTCGTATCGTGCCAAACGCCCGCCGCGATGGAGGGATTAGGTGCAGCAGCGAGCGCCATCGCGGTGATCGAGCTCGCCGCAAAAGTTGGCGCCCCGTTTCAGTGCTCCCCTGGGATTCCAGTACGAGCTTGATTTCGTTGATAGGTAGCCTCGCTGCTGTTTGATTTGGTAACTCTCGCGAAGCATACAATCTTCCTGTTTGTAGCGCGTGTCAAGATCCGGAAGCAAGTAAGTCCTCCAGCGGTAGCGCCCGACACCCGACTTGCTGGAGTCTCCGCAACCTGGGCAGCACGACAGCGGCCGCGTCCGCGGACTCTTCCCCGCAGAGTCTCGCAAACAGAGATGCACTAGCAACCAACTCGTCGAACAGCGTCAGAAACAGCCCGTCGGGCCCGTTCGCGGCGATGCCGAGCGACGCCAGCTGGAGCTCCATCACCGACACGGCGGCGTTGGCGCTGAAGGACGGGTCCGAGATGCAGAGCGACGGCAGACCCAGGCCTCCCCGCTCTAAAAAATCGTAGACCGACCTGTGAATGAACTCGACGGTGGAGTGCGCGAGCCGGTCGTGCGCCGATCCGGTGGTCCTGCAGAGGCATCGAGACGACGTCGGCCAGCGGGGGCACCGGCGTGCCTGTCGTACCTCGAGGAGGCCGCCGCAGCGGCTGCGGAGTCTCCCTTCCAGGGACGCGGACATGGCCCGCTGCTGCTGTAGGGAGAGGCGCTTGAGCGGCATCGCTCTTTTGTAGTCCATTCTGGACCCGTCGAGAATTGCGAGGCTGAGGGTGTAAACGGTCGGTTCTGTAAAGTGGCTGTGCAGCTCGGCAACCTGTATTTTTTGGTAGCAGATTTTGAGGATTTTGGCCATCTCCTCGTGGTACCGCGCGTCAACCTTCTGCAGCATTTGCTGGAACAGCTCTCCCAGCTCAAGTGGGAGCTCGTCGACGCGGCGGAGCAATTCGTCGACATGGTCGTAGGCCGCAAAACCTTCGAGGACGGAACGGCAGGCGAGGATAACCCATAAAAACACCCCGGATGCTTTGTCGACCAGCTGGGCGGGGATGGGTCTCGGGTTCGCGTCCTCGCCGGTCGCGAACGACTGCAGCGTCAACATATATGGGTGCGAGCCTACCGTATCCTCGACATAGCGGGTAATATCTGGCCTGGTAAGATCTTGGAGCCGTAGCTTCGGGCAGTTTTCGAAGCCAGCGGCACAAACTGGAATGGGCCTGCTGGAAACGAGGACCTTAATGTGGGGATTCGTGGTAAGGCGCTTGATAATGGGGACCCCGTTAAGGTAATTGCCAGAGAACTCGTCCAGGCCGTCTATGAGGAAGCAAAACTTGCGTTTGGGTAAGGGATGCTTTTGAAAGCTTTCGAGGGCCGAGGAGAGTTCTGCTGCGGATGGCGGGGATGGCGGTGCTGGATTCGAGCGATGGCCCTCAAACATGTCTTTCCACAGCCGGGGCAAGACGATGGGTATTAGTGCCGGCTCCGTGTCCAGGAAGTGATAGAGAACCGCCCGGGATATGCCGCCTTGCGATTGCTGGTCGGTAGTGCCCAGGGCCCAGAAGAAGAAGGAGCCGACGGTTAGGTCGAGATCGCCGGCCCAAGCTTGAAGCAGCCGCTGGGTTTCGCTGCTACTAAAGATGTATTTCATCAAGGTCGATTTCCCGCTGCCGGCCTTGCCAGAAATCCAGTAAACGCCCGAGCCCGCGCGCATCCACGCAGACAGATCGTCCCATTCGGCCTGGCGGTCTGGCCTCTTCGCATTCAAGGCCCATCGGAAGGTCGCCGCGTGCGCCGGCGCGACCCCGTCTCTCCGGTCGTCCATGCTCCGGAACCAGAGAAGCTCCAGGACCTCCTTACGACACACCGCCTCGTAGCGCTCCACCACGGCCTCGGCTACGACGTCGCGGCGGCCTGCGGCGGCATCGCAGACCCAGCGCAGGAGCCGGGTGTCGTGAATCTCACCCAGGTCTTGGGTGACGATGCGCTTGAGACCATCCGAGCTGTCGCGGGGCCCGCAGTCGGGGAACAGCTCGTGCAGCTTGGAGACAAAATGCGAGATGCCGTGCACGAGCGTCTCGAACTTGGCCTTGTCCGTCAGAGCCCATTTGATCCGTCCAGGGAGGGCGACGCCCGCGGGCCTATCCCCCACCCGAATCTTCAGGCTCCTGAACTCGTCGGCGAATCTCTCGAGCGGATGCTTGCTGATTGGCGCGAATCTGGGGTCAAAGGAGAAGGACGACGGGTCGGCCGGCCGCAAGCCGTAGCGTTCCTTAAGCGTCGAGCACTCCGTCATGAGAAGCTGAACACTCGATAGGGTTTGCCGCACGACGGCGAATGTCGCGGGGTCGTCCAGCCGCCGGTCATAGCATTCCCGGTCGAGGAGGCGCACCTGGCGCGCCCACTGCAGGAGGCATGCCTTCTCCAGCTCGAATTTGGCGAAGACGATCTCGTAGTCGCGGGCCAGCGACCTCGTGGCGCTGACCAGCGAGAGCAGGTCGATGCAGCTCTTAAACAGACCGGCAAGCCCGACGACGCCGATTGCGAAGCCCGCCGCCTCCATTTGCGGGGAAATTCTTCGCCGCGAGGAGATGGCCGATTGGGCGTCGTTGTCGTGCTCAAGCGAAGTTTTATGCAAGCCGACGCTCAGAAACCCCGGAATTACCGGCGTTTTCCCGCCGTAACTACCGCTCAGCCATTGGTGAGCACACCTTTTGGTTGGTTGATCATTTGTGCATTTTAATCATACGGAAAGCATTGCATGGAGTTATGGTGCGTGCGCAGAAAGATAGTTGCTAGGGAATATAAAGCAACCTTGCCTGCATCCGCAACGGTACTCCTTTCTTACTTTTACTTTCTTCCGATCTATAATTTCCGAAGTGTAAAGTATTGCCTTCTTCTGCCTGTTATACTATACCTGCGGGTCGTCACACGACCAAAATGACGATGTATGGCTGTGGTGTCGTCCTGGCTGGCGAAAGATTCATGAAGGCTCTAACTAGTTCATCCACCTATTACCTCTTGCTAATCAATACTACTACGGAGTTATGGTGCCTATACGCAGCTCAGAAACGTCCTGTAGAACCCGCCGTTGGACTTTCAGCCTCCTTTATCTTGCAGATGCGTCCATTCTCTGCGTGGTCGGCTACCCTTGGGTTCCAGCAGTCCCCAGCTCCGTGACCCTTGACAGGTTGGAAGATGGACGATGAGCGTTAGACAAGTAAAGGCTGATAAGCAGCCGCAGGATTCATCATCCTCCAACTCTATCCTGGGCCAGATCTTCGAGAGGACGAAACTCTGGCGTTTTTAAACTTCCAATATAGGCTTACAGTAAATCATAGATACATGGTGATTCCATGGCTGTGTGGGTGTAGACAGAAGCAGATTCGCTCAAGTGGCAGGGCAAGGCTTTCGTTGACGTCGTTCCTATCGTTCACGTCCATGCTGGAAGAAAGATCGACCAGCAAAGATTGGAAGTGGTGCAATCCCTATATATATCGCGGAAGGGCGCAACGTTAAAGCGCCTCTTTATCTCTCAAACCTGCTCAACCTTGGCGCCCTCACTCCTTCGCCAATCCCCAATACACTCGCTTCAGAAAATTTAATCTCGCTCGTTATCACCGCTAGGGCAAGCCCAGGCGCACTCTATACCCAAGCGTAGCCAGACACACCATCAGCATGCAGATGCACATGGGGCTTGTTGCGGCCATCGCGATCGCCGCGGCTCGCGCTGCGGTGCACAAGATCGACGTGGGCAAGGGCGGGAGGACGTACACGCCCGACGTCGTCAAGGCGGAGAAGGGGGACGTGCTCGAGTTCAGGTTCGTGGGAGGCATCCACGACGCCGTGACCGGCGACATGAGCCGTCCCTGCCAGCCGGCGGCAAGGAAGGACGGTGCTTTCTCCTCGGGCGTCTTCAAGGGCTCGCCTAGCACAGTCAGTACACACGCCCTCCGTGTAGAGCTGGCGACGACCACGAGGCTCGTGGATGCTGGAAAAAAGCGGCAAGTCTCGGAGTTGCTGACACCGATCAATACCGGAAACAGTCCGAGGTCTTCAAGGTGACGGTCGACTCGAAGGACCCCATGATGGTGTACTGCTCGGTGGGCATGCACTGCAGCGACGGTATGGTCATGGTCATCAACCCCACCGCAGACTCGTCGCTCGATGCTTTCAAGGCGGCAGCAAAGGGAAAAGATGGCAAGTCGCCCGGCGGTGCGTTTGGTGGCCAACTTGGTTCGCCGTCGGTCTGAGGAAATAGTAGACTTTATGGCTGGAAGAAGCGGTTAGCTGCGTGCCGGTTCCGGCTCAATAGAGGCAATTCCGCATGAGAGACGACAGGTACAGTAGCTCAATTTTAACCACCTGCCAGCTTGGTGAGTCCGTCTAAATGGGCTGGTATCCAACCAAGAGTGGCACGACAACTTCAGCAGCTACCTAGGCCTGATGAAAATATGACGGGCCGTCATGCAGTAATATCGCTTCTAGCCATCATGCCAGTTTCTCGCCGCCCAGTCTCAAATAATTCCAACAAACTATATGAGATGTCAGTCAACACATAGGGCAGAGACCAGAATGTCCCAGAGCGTCAAAGTAACTCACTGCTAAACCCGAGATCATCGCCGAAAAACATTTCCATCACGTCCTCCCCAGAGTTGACCCCAGCGTCTGGCCCGTAGCTCATGGCCTTCTTGCCGACGGCGAGGCCGATCATTGGCGGGAACTCGGCCAGCTCGATAAATTTGGGGGCTTGGCCCGTCAGTTGCTGCAGCATGACCTGGTGCATGTTTGTAGCGGCGCAGAAGCCCATATGCATGGCCCCGCCGCAGCGCTTGATGCCGGACCAGGCGCACAGGTCTCCGGCCGCGAAGTGGCTGGTGGCGTTTGGGGTTTCGGCGGGGAACATCATACTAAAAGTTTGGAGAAGAGAGGAGGCGTCAGTCGTGTTTCCTTTTGACTTTGATTCCGTTTCGGCCGGATCTCGGCGTAGGAATCTGCTTACTTGGACTGGATCTTGACATAGCCCTCGTCATCGAGCGCCACGGCGGGCAAAAACGCAGACGAGGGCACGCTCTTGGAGACTGCCATAATGACCACGTCGACCAGCAGCTTATGCCCGTTCGTGAACCTCACCTCCACCGCCCTCGTGCCGTCGGGCGCCTTGACATCGGCCTGCTCCAGCAGCCGGTGGCCCGTGAGCACCTCGACGCCGGCCCCGCGCAGCAAGGCCAGCGCCACGTCCTTGGCCTCGTCGGGCAGGCTCTCGGACGAGAGCAGGCGGTCGCGCGAGTGGGCGAGCACGACGCGGGTCTCCGGGCGCACCAGCTTCAGCTCAGCCGCCATCTCGATGCCGACGGCGCCGCCGCCGACGACGAGCACGCCGTGGGCCGCGCGCGACACGGCGTCGGCGTGGTCGCCCGCCTCGAACAGGTACTGCTTGCGCCGCAGCGACTGCGGCACCACGGGCCACACCCGCCGCAGCCCGCTAGCCGCCACCAAAAAGTCGTACGCCGCCTCCCGCGCGCCCGTAGAGCCCGTCGGGGTTATGGTGGCCGTCTTGGACTCGGCGTCCACGCGCGTCACGCTACCCTGGATGATGCGGATGTTAGGCTGCTGCAGCGCTGCTACGTCCTCGAACTTGACCCACGCCTTCTCGGCGTACTCGTTGGAAGCCAGTGCTAGCGGCGAGCCGATGATGTGGACTGCATGGACGGGGCGTGGTTTTGTGTTTTGTTAGTGACTGGGTGGGCTTGAAGTCTCCATGTCCTCCATGTGCTTCCCAACGAGGCAATTTTGCGAGCGACTAACAGTAGCCGTCCCTTTCGTCGACAATGGTAACCTCGACCTCAAACGGGGCAAGCGATGACGGCGAGTCGTCTACGCGCTTGCCACATCGTGGGTCACTCCCGGAGCACAGGTCGAGGAGGTTGAGGCATGCCGATATGCCAGCATAGCAGCCGCCGATGACGAGCACCTTGAAGGGGTCCTCGGGTCGTCTCGAGTGTGCTGTCATGGTGAATATTCTTGGTGATACCGAAGTGGTATCCTGTTTTCCGGTTTAAAGTAGTGTCTCCCGCTGAGTGATGGGGCCTAGTGATGCATACAACGTGGGTTTGGGGATGGCAACAGGCACGTTCAGGTCGGGGGCCGGGGCGGAGTCAGAAAGAAGGGAGGGGATGGAGAGGTCACGGAGCCGCATCTTGTCCTGGCGCCATGACAGGGTGATTTGAAAACTCGGTATATGAATAATGGCGCACGGGTCAGGAGGATGTGTAACACGCGGGCATGTCCCATCATGTTGATGGCTCTAGTGGATCGGCATCGGGTTCGAGGGTCCACAGAGAGGCTTGGGATTCTTGGTGCCCAGAGCCGGGCTAGCCTACATACGGTATCTAGGTTTTGCCTACCTGGCCGTTGCTCGGCGGCCTCCGCAGTCATCGCCGATATCGCCGCCCAGCAAGGGATGTCAGGGGAACTGGCCACAGTGGAAGTAAAAGTGCGCGGGACAGAGACCCAGCTGTATGACTTGACGTTTTGCCAGGGAAAGGGGGGAGACGAGGTACCTGGGTGACCCAGAAGAGGGGCTCATGAGGGGCCAGGGTGGGCTGGCGGGGACGAGGAAGACTGCCAAGAGGAATTATCAGATCCGTTAGGTAGCATCGCCCCAGCCTAGCGCCATCTGATAGCGAGCAGTGTGGAGCGGCAAAAAAAATAGCCCGCGACTTGGAGAACGGGACAAAACGCACATGCCGAAGAGGCCGAGAAACGGAACAAACGGAGAGTATTACGTGTCGTAAACCCGCGCTAATGGAATAGGAAAACTATATGGCGACCAAGAAATCACAGTTTGGGCACGATCCCGACTCCGGTCCCGCCCACCACCTTGTCGTTCTCGGCCAGGGGGCAGAGCTGGAAGAAGCGCTCACGCGAGCAGCGCATCAGGCCGCTGCGCTTGTGGGGCAGGTCGACGAACTTGTCGACGCCAAAGCCGTGGATAAAGTCGTAGCCCAACACGGTGCTGTTTGTGTACTTTGGCTCGCCCACCAGGTCCATGGTCCGGGGCTCGTCCAGGAACATGTAGTGCATCAGGCTCGACCACCAGGCCGAGACGCGGTGCGGGCCGCGGAAGCGCACGTCGCCCACGAGCGAGTGCCGGCCGCGGTCGAAGTCGCCGGCCGAATAGTACGCGCCCAGGCGGTCCTCCTGCGGAAGAGGGGGGTGTGACTGGTTAGCAGTTGGACAACAGAAAGCATAAAGTGAGGTGCAGAGAAGGAAGACACTAACCTTGCCCCAGTAGATCTCGAAGTACGCAAAGAACACGCCCTCGAACGCGGCCAGCACGGTGACCTGGTGCGGGTCCTCGTGAGCGCGCCTGAGGTACTCGCGGTGCTGCTCGAGCGTGCCCGTCTCGTTCCAGCCCTGGCTGACGCGCGGGTCGTTCTGCCAGGCGTGGAACAAACCCAGGTGCTTCTCGTCGCGGTAGTCGAGCGCGACCATGCTAAAGGTCTCGCGCAGGTGCGGCACGTAGCGGCTGTAGACGACGCTGCCCGGGCGCGGCTTGGCCGGCCGCCGCGGGTGCCAGCACAGCGCCGTGCCCGGCTCGTCGGTCAGCCGGTGGTCGAGCGCGGGCGCCGGGTAGGCCGAGACGCCGGCCTCGTCGGGCGCCCAGACGGGCCGCGGGCCGAAGGGGGACGCGGCGCCCTGCCAAAAGGCGGAGCGGAGGACGAGGAGCTCCGGCGCGGCGGCTTCGTTGGTGGCGGCGGGCTCGGGTGGCGGCGGGCTCTGGTCTTTGCGCCTCGGGTGATCGATGGCGAGCATGAGGTCTCGCAGGCGAGACGCGAGCGCCGCGGCGCCGGCCTCGCCGCCGCTGCCGCTGTCGAGGGTCAGGCGGAAGGCTTCCTCGGCCGGGCGGACAGTATGGACGAGATAGGCAAGCAACCAGAGCTGCGCGGGGGTTGGCAGGGCAGCCTTCTTGGAATCCCAGACGGCCACGATGGCAGGGGAGCGCCTTGCACGACCCCAGGGGGTATTGTTGGACTCGTGCGGGCGCTCCGACGACTTGAGGTCCTCCAGATCCGTAAAAAAGAGCGAGTCGCTGTGCAATTGCGGGTGGGAGACGCGATCGGCGGCAAGGCCCTTCGGTACGCTGTCTGCGACATGGAGCTGGTAGAGCGGACGGCCGCCATGGGTGCGGGCTGACTTGGCCACGACGTAGGGGGTGTGATATGGGTATGGGAGTTTAACAATGGTCTCGCCTGGCGAGAGTTGTGAGAAGGATGTTGCTGCCATGTTTGGAGAAGAATTGATATGTGAGGATAGGGAATGGGCGACGGAGAGGGTTTCGCAAACAGGAGAGGAGAAGTTGTAAGGGAGGGAGAATACTGCAACCCAGGACGGTAGTTTTGAGCACCCAGCAGATGGCACCTTGCCTTGCAAGCTACCACTTCAGTGAGTTGGCCAAACCGTTAGATCTGCACCAAGGGCCCTCTAGAACCGATAGATGCATATCTCACGGAGATGCCCTTTCAGGACGCATCGTCCGATGACCGCTCGGCCACCAATAGGGCATCAAGGACCGGCTGGGAGGGCGACAGACTCGAGATCCGGGACCAAGATGGGGCAGGCTGGGCACATGAGAAAATTTTCACCGGGAAAACATGGATAGCAGGTTTCAACACGGCCATGGACGGAGAGGGTCGCCTCGATTTCGCGAATGCAACATGGGCCACAGCGGAGACCCGAAGGACGTATGATGTTTATTACGGGTTGGGAAGGTGGTGCCAGGAGGGTCGGGTCTGCATGATTCTGCTGTCTGGGAGGGAGTGGTGAGGAGTTTTCGGCTCTTTTTTTTCTCTCCGTGATTTTCTTGGGCACCTGGGAGCCAATCAGGGACATGGAGGGGGTGCCTGGCGGGGTGACTGACATCCACATCGGCCGGATCTGATAACTTTACTTAAACGCTTTTGGGAAGATCTGATAATAATAGGTGGGTCTGACACCAGTTTCTGGTGGCATCCAGCGTTAATCCCCATCTCATGTGCGTCTGGGGCCGGCTTGTGCGTCACCTCCTTTGCCGCCACTTCTTGCCTGGCCTAGGCCTTTTTTTTCTCCATCGTCATTGTTCTCACTCGTTCGGCCGGAGCTGGCATGATAGCCAGCCGAGAAGTAAAGGATGACCCAGGGCGCCTCCTTTGGTCCATTACCCCAAAAGCAGCACTCCAGCTATGCAAATTTTGCGTGTAAAAACGTAGGCCCCCACCGAGCTCTGTGACTCCGGCCTAATTCCGCCCGAGACTCGCCCCTGTTTCCTAGGCTCAACGTGTTCCACACCGGCCGGAACGTATACATACCTCCGCCGAGTGCAAAATAGAGCTTCGGCAGCCGCGAACTATCGGTTGTATAGTGAAAGAAGTAAAAATAGAATGGAATGGCGATAGTGCCCGACCACGAGCAACATTGATATCTATAGCTTTTAGATACTCTATTGCTTTAGGTAACAGAACAGTCTATCCCAACACATATACAAACAGATGAGAAAACCAAAAGAAAAAGTCCCATCTAAAGCTTGGCGGTGGCGGGGTTCTCGAGAAGGTTATTCCCAAGAATCGCCATCTCAAACTTGCGCACCTTTCCACTCCCTGTCAGGGGCACATCCCGAGGCACGCCGTCCCTCCCGAGCCAGAAAATGTGCGCAGGAGCCTTGTGATTGCCCAGCTTGGCCTTGACCCACTCGCGCACCTCACCGTCATCCGGCAGCTTGGCATTGGCACCGCCGCGCTCCTCGGCGGCACCCAAAAACGCCCCGACGACCTCACCGTAGCGGGCGCTCTTGAGCCCCACCACGACGGCGGACGCGACGGCCGGGTGCGCGACGAGGCGCTCCTCGATCTCGAGCGGGTAGATGTTCTCGCCGCCGCGGATGATGATGTCCTTGAAGCGGCCCGTGATGGCGCAGTAGCCGCGCTCGTCGAACACGGCCTCGTCGCCAGTGTGCAGCCACAGCACCCCGTCGCCGTCCCGCCGCATCACCTCGGCCGTCTTCTCCGAGTTGTTCCAGTAGCCCGCCTGCAGCTGGTAGCCGGCGATGCAGAGCTCGCCCCGGCTGCCGAGGGGGACCGTGTTCCCGTCGCGGTCGACAATCTTGGCGCGCGCGTGCGGCATCAGCGTCCCGACCGTGGCCAGGCGCGTGGCCACGGCGTCGTCGGTGAAGGCGTTGAAGCACGTCGGCGACGCCTCGGTCAGGCCGTAGCTCGACGTGAACTCGGACATGCCGAGCCGCGTCACCATCTGCTCCATCAGGTGCCGCGGCACCGGCGCTCCGGCCACGATCCCCGTGCGTAGCGCCAAGTCCGACGCCCTGAGGTCGGCCGCTTCCGGGAGCGCGAGCAGGGAGTCGAACATGGCGGGGACGCCGTGAAGCGCCGTGCAGCGCTCCTCGCGCACCGCGCGCAGTGTCGCCTCTGCGTCGAAGACCTCGGCCGGGTACACGATCTTGCCTCCGTGCGTCACCGTCGCCAGCATGCCGAGAACCAGGCCGAAGCAATGGAACATGGGCGGGGGGCAGCAGAGGGCATCCGAGGGGCCCAACTGCATCCTGTCTCCGATATAGCGGGCGTTGTTGACAAGGTTGCTGCGTAGGGAAAAAAAGGGGGGGTTTAGTCAATTGCAGAATAGGTAACCGGAAATTGGGAGACGGGGCTCACTGGTGTGTTAGCATGGCGGCTTTGGGCCTGCCCGTCGTGCCGCTTGTGAACTGCAGATTGCAGACGTTGTACGGAAGCACCTTTGTCTGGGCCTCCTGGAGTCTCCGGGAGCTGAATCGGATGCCGCTTTGAATAACGTCCTTGTAAGGAAGAAAGCTGCCAGAGTCGCCACGTATTATCACCACTGTTGGCGCGTCTGCCTGGGCCGCGAGCTCTAAAAGTAGCGGCTCGTTTGTCAACCGCCCAATTCGCTTTGTGGTGAAGAAAACCCTGCACTCTAGATCACAGTTAGCCGACGCAAAGCCACATGCGCTCTTGCGCATCCCAGGCCATGACAAGTATTCAGCCTACCAGTGAACTTGAGGGCGTATTGTGCTTCGGTCGCCGTGTAGGTGTTGTTGAGAATGACGAGAATGCCACCAATCCGGGCCACGGCGAAGAATACCGCCGCGTACTGCTCACAGTTACCGGCCATGATGCCCACGCGGTCTCCCATGCCAATGCCCATGGATAAAAGAGCTCTTGCTATCAGGCAGCTTTGCTGGTTGAGCTCGTTGTAGGTCCACCTCGCTCCAGTCCAAGGGATGACGATGCACTCCTCGGTACCATGATGTTGGCACTGGAGGTCCAGCAGCTCCCCGAGCGTAAAGTCGACAAGCGGAGGATCGACGGGGCCGTGTAGGAGGGACAGCTTTTCCCTCCGTAGGACGGTGCCGTCAACCGGTATCGTGTGCTGTAGCTGAGCCATGTTGCCTGGTGTTCTGGTCTCTTTGACAAAATAAGGAGCTGCTATTGTGCACAAGGGGGCAGTGTCGGCGGCGATATGTTACTTGAAAGCAAGCCGGCTAAAGAAAAGACTCGCAGACGGCAAAGGAGCCATGGTCTTGGGCCGGGGGACATGCAGAGGTACTACCTTGTCATAGAAAGCAATCAGGGTCGCAGCATGCATGCCAGGGCCTCCGATTCCGGACACAGGACCAGGGTATATACTAGCCATCCCGGTTGACAGGCCAGGAAAAAGAAAGTAGAAAAAAACCGCCGCATATCCTCTCTTGTCTTTTGCCATTGCAGCGCACCCAGAAATGCCGCATGGACCCACAGGTGCAGATGGGAGGGAGGGACAACACGGTCTAAACTAGCGATGGTTGCACGGCGGTTCCCAATAGGAAATATGGACGGGGCGGGGTGGGACAGGGCAGGTTGCCGTCGGGGACAAGGACTTGGATACATGCAGAATTATCTGATGATCAGATAAGATTGCGTATGGACCCGACAGGAGGGCCACTAGCCCCTCCCCCCCTTTGCTGCGTATGCTCCGTCCTCGAGCTTATCCCTGGCATGGCGCCTCTCTAACCCTTCCGATGCCGGCATGCGCCAACGTTGCTGCGGCGTAAAGCCAAAACCATGGCCGTTGACACAGTGTGTCAGGATCTGGCGGGAGATGGCGTCAGAGCCCGAGTCTCCCAGCAGTGCAGGGGTTGGGGCCTGTCCTGTGAAGCTTGCGAAAAGGAAGCCTCATTCTCTTAATAGCCGCCTCAGTCCTTGAGCCGGCAGCGTCAACCTCGAGAATCTGGCTGGCAAGTTGCTTAAACTCAAGCAGAACCACTCAGTGCTCCAAGTCAGCGAATCGTCACCAGTGGCTCGGCCCGCTGAATTACGTATACCCTCCAGATTCGCTGACGGTTGCTTCACTAGCAGCGGGCTGCATTCTCTCCGCCCTTTGGTCGGGGCGGTGCTGTTGCATGGATGACCCGACGGCCGCCAGGTTTTGGGGATGCTGACGCCATTTGGCGCTCTGGGCGCAGGAGATGGAGCTTGCTTATTATCAGCGCAGACAAAAGTCCATATTTCGAAATGATTGATATTGCACATCTCGAACGCAAGGAATCGTTGAAAGTGACCGTGATTTGAAAACAACATTGAGGCCCAGAGCACAGGCGCTGGCACCACCCAGCACCACCCAATGTCACACTCAAGTGGCATGGGCGAGTCTCTAATGCCCTTCCGGTGGAGCAACAGCTCCAACACCCCCGCCGCCGACAATTTCCCACCAAGCTCCAGCTCAAAGCTTAGCGGGAACCACGCCATTGTCGGGTGCAAGCAGCCGTCGCGCAGCCCACCTCCAACAAGGCGAGCCAAGATGCTCCCCGAGCCGACGCTGACCTTCACAATCCCGAGCCTCCACGACGGCACCGTCCTGAAATGCCGCGTCTACCACCCGTGGAGCCTCTCGCCATCGCCCAAGGCCCCGCCCTGGCGACATGACGCTGCCATCGTGGCCCATCCCTACGCGCCCTTGGGCGGCAGCTACGATGACGGCATCGTCTCCCTGGTCGCCACGACTCTGCTAAGGGCCGGCTTCCTAGTCGCTACGTTCAACTTTAGGTATGCGATTGATGACGTTGAGAGCTCAGGACACTCACCAGGTCCTCAATTGCTCGCTCTCGGACTAATGCCCCCTTTTTCTCCTGCCCATCCAGAGGCGCTGCTGGATCCGCAGGGCGCACATCGTGGACAGCCAGGGCTGAGCGGGGCGACTATCTCTCAGTCGCTGGCTTCCTGGCACTTTATGCCCACATCCTCGACCCTTTCCGCCACGCGGCTAGCCAGCCCGCGACCCCTATCAGGAGCGGCTTTACCACACCGACCCGCCTCCCTCGCTCACCGTCGGCAAGCTATCCTCGACCTCACGCCGCGACACGATCACGATCCGACGACGACAGCTTCCCACCCCTATCCGCCGACCCTGCCGCCACGCCCCTCCTCGTGTTCTCGGGCTACTCGTACGGCGCCCTGGTGACGAGCCAGCTCCCACAACTGTCGGGCGTGCTGGCGCCCCTCCTCGCCCCGGAGCACGGCACGCCCGCGGCCGAGATCCGGCTGCGGGCCGAGCACCTCGCGGTGGCGCAGAACGAGATCCTGGGGGCCGCGCGCCGGGCCGCGGAGCGCGAGGCCGTCGCGGCGGCGCGCGGCACGCCGTCGACGTCGCCGCGCAAGTCGCTGAACCTGCGCGTGGGCGGCGACGAGGAGATTGGGCACCACCACCACAGCCGGCGCAAGAGCCACGACTCGCACCGGTCGCTGCGGCGGTCCATCGACGATGCCGAGGAGAAGCTGCTGAGGGGGGTGCACGACCTGCTGGCCAAGACGCGCCACGGCTCGCCGCCGCCCCGCCGGAGTGCGAGCCTCCACGGCGTGGCCGGGCAGCGGCAGCTCAAGCTTAGATCCGTCTCGTCGCCGGACCCCGGAAGGCACGGGGACGTCAGCCCCGTGATTAGGGAGGCGGCGGAGGAGGACGAGCCGGACGGGGCGGGTAAGGACGCTGTGCACCAGCTGCCCACGCTCCTCCATCCGCCGTCACCCACTCCGGCGTATCTTTTGGTATCACCGCCACTTAGTATAGCCGGGAACTTGACCTCTCTGTCCTTTTCCTTGCCGTCTCTTCCGAAACGACTGTTGCGGCGCGCTTCGGTGCCGCCGGCTAATGATCCCGGAGGTGATGCTAACGGGCAAGATCCGCTGCTCAAGGGCCCGCAGAGGGCAGCGACCTCGGCGCTCGGAGTCGCTGCCGACTCGACATCGCCCGTGGGTGGCAACCTTGCCCTAGACAGCCTGGCAGAGGCGGACCGCAAGATGGTGGAGAACTCGACACTGGTCGTGTACGGCGACAGTGACGTCTTTGTGTCGAACCGGCGGATGCGCGGCTGGGCGGCGAGGCTGCAGGGGGTGCCAGGCTCCAGGTTCCGGGCCCATGAGGTCTCGACGGCTGGACACTTTTGGCAGGAGGGCCCCGCGGACGGGGAGAGCGTGGCACATGTGCTACACCACGCGGTGCAGACGTTTGCCGACGGTCTGCTGCAGAAACGAACGCAGAGGTGATGATGATACCCGACATGCGGCCCCAGACTGAGCCATCAAGGCAGAGCAGAGCCCACATCTCCGGCCACAGGAGGAACTACGATGCAGGCTATGTTTGCCGCATGTTTCTATTCCAGCAGATACAATCAATGATCACGAACGCCAGCCCGTGTTCCAGGGTTGCTACCTGGATGTCTCCTTGTGTTTGTTTGAAGAGAGGAGGCGGAATTTGTCACCTCCCGGAGCATTCCTTCCGCTTCCCCACGGTCTACCATCGAGAACGACGTCGATGAGCATGTGTCAGGGCCGCAGTGTAATCTCCCCAGGCCCAGCTCTTGGTGTATCCATAGAGCCAAGGCACCAGTCAACAAGCCACGTAAGTGAGCTTGGATGAGAGCCTCGCCCGCTCGCCCGTGCACTCGCTCAGCTTACGAACATGTCCATCCTGCATGTAACATGTGGTGATAAGATTTCTGATCGTGCCGTGGCTGGCTTCTTTTTCATCAAGGGGGTCCCTACTCCTCCTCTTTGTTATCCCTCAGGACTCGATTCATCACTACAGCGTTGGCATGTGAAAGTGGGAACCCGGGTAAAACAGCGCGACCCAGGCTTCTCCAATCAAGTTTTTCCCGCGAACCGACGTTTGCTTCCCGCGCGTCTCACGTGTGCCGTCGATCGGGTTCGTGGTGATTCTGACAAGATTCCGCTCTCTAGACACAAATGATATCTAGACAATTCAGATGCTAAGTGAGGGGGTGGGATGCAGCCGCCGCATGCGCACCAGCGTCGGCGCGCCTGCACGGCGGCCCAAAGCAGAAAGAGGCGATGTCGGAGGACGGGCTAGGGGCTACTCGATTTGCATCAACCCCACACGCCCTCATCGGGCTGCCTACCGTCTAGGCTACCAGCTAAACCCCCCACACAGTCGCCTCAAACCGCCCCGGAGAGCTCGGGTAGGGGGCTGGGCGTGGGGCAGCCAATTGGCTTGTTTGGGGAGGTCAGCAGCCGACAGATTCAACCGAGATCAAACCCCACGCACACCTCCCAGATCGCAGTTGCTGTCATTTGACAAGTGTCGGCTGCCCGTCCGTGCACAGTCACCCATCGATGCTGTTTGATGCCGCCCCTTTTGGCATTCTCGCATGTGCGGAGCCGCGCTGTTGTGGTCAGCGCCTGAGCTCGTATGAAGCAGTCTGTGTGCAACAACAAATGCCGTCATGAAATCAGCCGTTTGGTCCTCGCAGGACAAAGAAAGAGAAAGAGGGAAAAAAAAGCGGCCCGAAGAAGAAACAGCGGCGGGAAAGACGGTGCGAGCATGGGTGGCGGGCAGGAGACTTTGCCCCTCCAGGCGAGTCGGGGTTTTATTCTGCCAAAAACAAACCGGCACATGCCGCAAGCCTGTGGGAGGCCAGAGCAAGGCACGCGACCTTGCGTGACTTGTGTCAGCATAAGAGGGCAGCACGGGTTTCCCTACAAGTAGGCTGCATGCAGCACTAGACCGCCAGATCAAGGACATGACAGCCCATGGGAAAAACCAGACGTTAGACGCGGAGTCGACTCAAGTAGGGGGATTGTTTGTTCCGAGTCCGACATGTCCGCCGTTGATCTCGATGATGTCTCCGTTGGGTATGGTAGCCCCTGAGGTTTTTTTTAGGTTTTTCTTTTTCTTTTTTTCTTTCTCTCACCTGCTCTCTATTCTTCCAGTCCTTTCTTTGACGCTTCTCATGCAGGCGTCAATCAAGTGTGCTGTGCCCACCTGATCTAGATCGTGGGGTTCGCTGGCCGCCTTTGTTGACGCAACAGGGGTGCTGGGGTGCTGCTACCCACAGTTGGAGCGCTAGTGCGGAAGCGGCCTGGGGTCAAATCTGGTGCGGTGGAACCCGCCCCAAGCTTTTGCCGGAAGGGATCGCCTGGGCTTGGCCAGGGAGGAAAAGGGTCAGCTGCACATCTCCATCCGCACATCCTGACGTCCGCACCGCGCCTGCGCCGCCCGACGTCCCGGGCGCTTCCCAGGCAGGGCCCGACGTATGTAAGCGTGGGAGACAGAGAGAGGACAAGACCGTTCCCAAAAACCCGATGCTCCATGTAGGCCCGTTCCTCTAGACAGGGAATGCTTCTCCTTTTGCTTCGCTCAACGCTCGGCCTACGCACTTCTTCCCGACGCCGCGACCTCCAACCGCTCGACTCTGCATCTGCTAGGGCCGGCGCTGTGTCTGCCCAGCCACTTTTCGTAACGGCCCTACTAGCCAACGCCAGTCCGGCACCAGCGCCAGCACCAGCACAGGCAACAATAGCACCAGCATCAGCATCATAGAGCCTCCTCCTTGTCCTCCCGTCACTCTCGACTCGAGTACCACCATCAGTGCTTGTATTGCTTGCTCAAGGAAGCCTGCGAGAGCCTCACCTCCTCCTCCTCCTCTGGCCCCGCGGAGAAGTATCTCCGGACCTTGCATGCCAGTCGGATCCTGCCTTGACGGGTAGATCTTCGGGTCGCGCGTTGCTCTGCATTCCTTCCTCACCGACCCTCTCTCCCCATTTTGCGCGCCCACTGCCAGTGGTTGGCCCGCCTTATTACCTAATCTCGCTATACCAACATCCCATCTTTCCCCCTCGAGGGACAAGACGGTACGGCATCTACCTCTCCCTCGGCGCAGCCTAACTGTAATGCGTCTCCTGCGCCTCGCGGGCCCGAGTCACGGACACTGCGCTCGCCATCCGAGGTCCACGTCTCCGTGCGATGGAAGACGTTTTGCAGCTGGTCAGCACCCTCGGTGCTCCCGCGCCGTGGTCCTCGCCAACTTCGCCTAAGAAACCGACAGCCACCTCGACCTTCCCGCCGCCTTCCCAGGACCCGAAACCTAGCCAATCACCCGTCTTCTCCGTCCTGCAGAAGACCGCCAAGCTTGCGCTTTCCTACCGCAATGGAGTCTCAATACAGGCCGCTTGCGACGTGGCGAAGCTCGAGCAGAAGAGGCAGATATTGGAGCTTCGCATGAGCGAGGTAGGTTCACATTCGGGCTCGGTCCTTGATCCTGCCTGTTTCTTGGGCGCCGCTGGCGGACGCGGGCTTACACATCTGTTCAAACGTATAGGCCACCTCCTTTTCACAGTGGGAAGAAGCTGCACGCGAGCTCGACAAGCTCGAGGGCAACGATGTCTGGAAGCGCGACCCTGCTACCGGCGACTACAGCGCCAACATTATCGAATCCCGCCTCCGAGAGCTCGACGCCGCCCGGGCTAACTGCGACCTGCGCGAGATGCTATTTCTCGTCCGCCACACGCTCTCGCGAGAGCTCGGCGGCATGGGGAGTGCCGACCTCTACCGATACTCATATACGGGCACCAAGCGCACCATCGAGCGCTACGTCGAGTCTGCTGTCAAAACGATAGAGTCGCTAGTCGAAAGGACGGACTCGCTGGCCGGTTTGCCGGCTGACATGCGCGTACAAGACGTCCTAGACGAGCTCATCGACACGAGGCAAAACTTTGGCCGCAGCGCCCTGATGCTGAGCGGAGGCGCGACCTACGGAATGACGCACATTGGTGTGGTCAAGGCTTTGTTCGAGGCTAAGCTGCTCCCCCGCATCATATCGGGGGCCTCGGCAGGCTCCATCATCTGTGCTGTAATATGTACCCGCACAGATGAGGAGGTTCCCGAGCTCCTCGAGTCTTTTCCCTATGTCGACCTCGCCGTGTTCGAGGAGGAGGGCAACGAGGACACACTTGCGGGCCACGTGCGCAAGCTACTGACCGAGGGTAGCTGGTCAAACATCCAGCACCTCTCGCGCGTCATGCGCAACATGTTGGGCGACATCACCTTCCGCGAGGCCTACAACCGCACACGCAGGATATGCAACATTACAGTCTCCAGCGCCTCCATTTTTGAGCTGCCCCAGCTGCTCAACTACTACACGGCCCCCGACGTCATGATCTGGTCCGCCGTCACCGTATCGTGTTCCGTGCCTGTCCTGTTCCAGGCCGCATGTCTACTGGTCAGGGACCCCCTTACTGGCGAGCACCTGCCTTGGAACCCGTCGCCGCAGAGATGGATCGACGGCTCCGTCGACAACGACCTGCCAACATCGCGTCTATCCGAGATGTTCAACGTCAACCACTTTATTGTCTCTCAAGTCAACCCCCACATCGTCCCGTTTCTGACCCCAGAGGACCGCCTCCTGACGCTCGAGGAGCGCGCTCAGGCGAACGCACCCGACTCGGTCACGCTATCTTCGACATGGAAGAACCTCATGTCTACCCTCACGACTCTGGCCAAGGACGAAGCCATGTACCGGCTTAACTTTGCCGCCGAGATGGGCGTCTTTCCCAACATCTTCACCAAGCTGTGCAGCATGCTCAGCCAAAAGTACTCGGGCGACATCACCATCATCCCCGAGATCAGCTTCCAGGACCTGCCCCGGATCCTGAAGAACCCAACGAGCGATTTCATGCTCAAGTCGTGTCTGATTGGCGAAAAGGCAACCTGGCCCAAGCTGCGCCGGATCTGCGACCACTGCGCCATCGAGCTCGCCATCGACCGCGCCATACACGACCTCCGCACCCGCGCCGCCTTCAGCCCCAGCCAGGTCAACCTGCGACGCATGGGCACACGCTCCGGCGAAATGGGCCAGCCAATGACCAAGCTGCACCACCGTGAGCGACGGCGGTCGGGCGGCAGTCTGCAGCTGCTCGTGCGGCAGCGCCAGAACAGGGGAGAGGTTGAGCAGATAATGACTGACAACGAGTCCCGCGGCGGCGACGACAAGGACTCGAAAGACTCGTCGGACGATGAGGAAGGCGGTATGCTCGAGCTGGACGTCGGTAGAGCCAGGGGTGGTGGTGCCCGCAAGAGGTCGACTGGTGGCAACTCGGCGAGCGCGGCCCTGGCAGGCGGTGGTTCCGGCCGCAGAGGCGGTAGCCTACTAAAGCCGGTGCTGCGGCGGGCGACTCGCAGCCACAACGCGCTACCTGTATCGTTCATGTCCAAACTCTCGACCACCGAGTGCGACTCGGTGACGACCAGGGGATCTAGCGCGGAGCAGTGCTCCTTCGACGACGCCGACAGCCTAGAAATGGTGTCGGCGGCGTCGGAGCTCTCGCGCAAGACCCCATCGTCCTTCCTGCCCCTCACCTCCCGCGAGGACTCATACGTGGCCGTCGCTGCGCCCCGCCTACAGACCCCGCCCCGAAAGGAGTCTCCGGTGGCGATGGCTTCAGCAGCACCTCGTTTTGATCTGCTCCTGTCACCAACAGACGAGACCACGATGGCGGATTCGTCCGTCTTCGACGCCGATGTCGACTCGCAGTCGGACAGGTACAGCGTGTCGTCTCCAGACTTCGACCCTGCCCATCCTTCCAGCCCGCTGCTAGAGAGTAGGATGAAGAGAAGCCAGGAGGAGGAGGCTAGGCGGAAGCAAGAGCAGCGGCAGCGTGACCTGGCGGCGGCGCGGCGCCGTTCGCAGTCGGAGAGCTGCGCCATCGACGTCAACGACGCCAAGTACGCCGAGGTTCCCGACCCCCGCAGCGGCTCCGACGGTGACGGCGTGTGGGATTGACTAGTGGATGGGGAGGACGAGGACGAAGAGGCTCTGAGCGGCAGCGCCACCGAGGCCGGCAACAAATATGCTTCTGCTGCTGCTGCTGCTGCTGCCACTCTCGACGCCCCTCCGTCGCCTCCTCCCCGACACATCCCGAGCGGCGGCAGGGGGCGAAGCGCAACCGATGTCGGCAGCAAGACTGCGGCCGCTTCTACGCCTCCCTCCCGCCAGAGCCCCGGCGGCGGCGGCGGCAGGGGTCGGAGCGCGACGCTCGATCTGCCGCCTGTGTATCGCTCGTCTTGGATGGGCTGGTAGCGAAGGGACTCTTGGGCTTTTTAACAAGAAGGCTAGGAGACGTGATTGATAGAAGGGATGTTTGTTTGACAATATGCGCATATATGGGCGTTTGAACAGCATAGAGGGCTTGTCTTTTTGGCCATGTGTTCTTAGATTCGGGTTTGTCGTGTAACCCCTGGGCAGTTCGACCGAGATTGCACTACCTGGTTGATCGGGGGCTCTATCAGGCGCTGGTAGAAGCATGCTGAGCATTCCTAAAGTAAATTACTGCCCCATCTCTTCATCCCATCAGAGCCATCGGTCGGCACTCCCTCCGTCCAGCCCACTGGACCAGGTCGTATCTTGTTATTCACCCAAACTGTCACGTCTTAACGGATAACAGTTTTTCTCTAGATACACATAACCATTTCATGGGCTGCATCAACATTTAGACTTGGCCCAATCGTGTGTTCTATGCACAAAGCACTACAAGTACGGCTTGACCTGCTCTTCTGTCCATTCCCAAAACTTGAGCCCGATCCCGGTGCCACCCTCTTCCACGTGCTTGGTCGCCTGGGCAATGTCGTCCCTGATGGTCTCGAAGCGACCCCAGGGTGCCACTACACGCACATTTTACCGGTTGTCAGTCGAGGCACTTTGCAGAATCGTCTATATCACAACAAGGAAACAGGAAAGCCGCTTACCCCACTGCCCAGACTGCTCGAGCCCGACCTCGGGGCTCAGGCCGGCCCACAGCTCCGTGTAGGCGCCGTAGACGGGCGGGTGATGGAGCGTCCGGTTGAGCACCTTTGTCACCACGCTGCCTAGGTGCCTCGTCAGCTCCGTCTCAAGGTTGCCCGGGTTGAGGGGCACCGAGACGACGCCCTGCCTCCTGAGGCGGCTCGCAAACTCGACCGCGTGCAGGTAGTTGCCGGCCTTGCTGATGCCGTACCGGACCTCGGTCCGTTCGTTCTTCTTTTTATAGTCGAGGTTCTCGACGTCCAGCCCGCCCGGCCTGGGGCTCATCAGCTCGGCGGTCGACGACGAGACCCAGACGACGCGGACGGATCCGGCCTTGGCCGACGGCGACGCGGCCGTGGCGGCGAGGACCGGCGTCAAGAGCTTCGTCAGCAGGAAGTGGCCGACGCAGTTGGTGCCGAGCTGCAGGTCGAGCCCCTGCGCCGTCTTGCGGTCCGTCGGCGGCATCATGACGCCTGCGTTGTTGAAGAGCACGTCGAGCCGCGCCTCGGCCGCCAGGAACTCGGCCGCGGCGGCCTTGACGGCGCGCAGGTCCGCCAGGTCCAGGCGCAGGAACGCGGCCCGGCCCGCCGACGCCGGGTGCGCCGCCTCGATGGCACCCACGGCCGCCTTGCACTTTTCGTCGGACCGCCCCGCGACGTAGACGGTGCCGCCGGCGCCGTACAGGATCTTGGCTAGTTCGAAGCCGACGCCTGTGTTGGAGCCCGTGACGATGTAGACCTGTGGTACACCCGGGGAGTAGTTTTGTTTCAGCCGTTCATGTTCTGGGGCGATCTGCAGGCGGCCGGCGGATGGAGACGGACCTTGCCTGTCAGGTTCCCCACGTGGGACTCGGTGAAGTCGGGCTTCGGCGGGAAGGCCGCCCTGAACTGCTTTACGATACGTGACATATTGGGCTATCCAGGCTTTGCTGTAGCGGCGCCGTTAGACTTGAGTCGCGCCCTGGATTTTGGGTCGTGGGCTTTATGTCGTGTCGTCCCCTGGCTGGGCCCCTGGCCCCACCGTGCCCACTAAGCCCGTGATCTCACCTTGGCCAGCCGGAGTCTCGGTTCGATTTTACAGACTGAACCCGGACCTCGGCCACATTTCCACCTGGTGGACCACTCGAACATTTAACGAGTTCCCGAATTGGGCCCGTCCATCCCATCTCGCCAGAGATTGCAGAGTCTCTCTACTTTCAAGGGGGCACAGAGCGTCAATGGCACGCCAACCAGGTGGCCCCCTGCCTCGCCTCTAGCGCCAACGGCCATGACTTGCTCCACCACTGACATGCACCGACCCGGTCAGTGATCAGAAGACCTTTGCATTCTCATGCTCAAGAAGGTTTTAGGCGAGGCGGAAAACGAGGTGGTTGCCATTCAAAGTTAGCCGACAAATGTAGTAGCGAAGTTTAAATGGGAATAGATGCTTATTTTTCGTGCACATTCCATCATATGCCTAGGTTCAAAGCCCATATATTTTTAGGTTAGGTTGCAAAATCTTATCTTCAAATGACGAGGAGGCAAATGTGATTTTCTTCTTGTGTGGTCATTGTAAGTCAATATCAACAACTGTTGCCCAAACCGTGCCCTATCCCTCACGTCAGATGAGAAAGATGCTGTGGCAATGATCAGAGGAAGGGAATCAAGCTCACTATAAGAATTCAACATCTACATCAAGCCCATTCTTCATGTCTCGCCTCCACTGCTCTTGAATCTCAGCTAGCTTCCCCGGTTGAGCAAGCACATCCACCGCCGTGCCTGCAAGAGCCTTCCCGACACGCAAGGCCCTCTCGAAAGCCACCCTCGTGCCGGCCGCCTTCTCAAAGTCCGGGCTGTGGTTGCGCCCTCCCTCGGGACCCGGCGGGATGGCGAAGCTCGCGTTCACGCTCGGCAGCACGTAGCTAATGTCCCCCTGGTCCGTACTCGCCTTGACAAACGTGAACCGGCCGCCCGACGGGATCGGCGGCGCGGGCGCCTCGCCCGGCAGGGCCTCCCAGCAGCGCGCGTACGACGCGGCCAGGACGCGGTTCGGGACGTGGTCGGCGTACCCCTTCGTCGTCGTGATCTCCACCGTCGCGCCGGCGGCCTCGGCGCCGGCGCGGAAGCAGGCCTCGACCCTCGCGCGCAGCCCCTCGAGGCGCGCGGCGCTCGGGCTGCGCAGCACGGCGAGGCCGG